TTTTTTTTTTTTTTTTTGCGAAAAACCAGTTTTTCCTTGCTGTTGATTATTCTTGGGTACAGCGTTAACAAGATAAGACGCACACGCTATATATACATCTAGTCCATTTTGATATCTCCCATATACTTCTTGTACCGCTCAATTCTTTATTAACCATTAACATAATGAATTAAGCAATCACACTAATCTTAAACTTTTAATTTTATTAAATTATTTGCTTTCCAATACACTAATTCAAATTTGTCTTTGTATTTATTTTTTTGGAATTCGATGTGTTACTTGAATGACCTTTTGCTTGATCAATTTATCAATGCTCAGTTTTTAGGGCTCAAAATTATTTTACATAAAGTTTGATCAATATCAGTGACTACTAAATTAACTAATTTTACAGAAAGCCAACTATTCATAAAGAATGATGCAATTAGTAATTTGCAGACCAGTGATCTATATAACAATGTAAGATCATAATGTGTCAATACTTCGAAAAATTCAGAAAATATAAATGACGGATCAGATACTGATGTTTTTCGATTAGAAAGAAAGTACTAAAAGTAAATTTAAGCCTAATTTTACTCACCTAATACATTGAAAGCAGTAACTGTTAGTCATTGTCAGTTTAGCATGCCAACAAATTTTTGTACTTTGCTTATTAAAATGTAACATAATAATGTAAAAATACTGAGAACTCTTAAGATTACTTCATTGGATGAGCCCTATATTATTATAGCAGGAATGCATCTTTTTTTCTAGGTTTTCATATTAAAAATCAGTTTTCTTGTCTAGTTTCTGAAAGTCACCAATATTAATAATTGTACTTTATAAAACATTTTTCAGACAATTCATAAATTTCTATTATGATTAAATAAAATTAACTCAAAAATTCTGACACAGAATTAAAAAGTTTCCAATTTTTCATGCAAATTGCAAAGAAAATTCCACAAGTCGATAACTTCTGTTTGCCAATTGACTTTCTAGCAAATTACTCGATTTAAAATCACAGTAGCAGCTTAAAATTCGATTAAGATCGGTAATTTTAATGACAGAAATATTGTCAAGAAATTAGAGCTAAGCAATCAGTGTGAGTGAAGATGTATCCTCAGCCTTAAGTCTTATCTTAGAAAATGATCTCATAAGACTCAAATTTTTCTTTAAAATTTTAATGCTACAAATAACAACATCTCAAAGCCCAGAATAAGAAAAGTCATTTAGTCTGCGTCATTTATTTTTGATTCAAAAGTGATTTAGTTTTTTGCTGTTAAATAATGAAAAAAACTTTTTTTTGTGATTTCAGTTGATTTTGCTTCTAAAGACTTCAACATTTCAGTTTAGTTGTTTCTATCATTTACAGTGCGATGCAGATTTTGACGGTAAGTAGTAATCAACTGAATCGCTTTTCATAATTTTAACTTAACTGTTTTTTTTTCTTGAATTTATTTTGGTGCAAAATGAATGAAATCTACAGAAACCAATTTCATAGATTTTATAAAATAAGTAATGAAAGCAAATAAATTCTTGATTACATCGAATACATTAAAATTGCGGAAACTTTACTGAATAAATTTAGTTTTTCACTGCAACACCTTGAAAGATATCTACTTACATATCTACTTGTTTGACTTATCCTTCCTTTTTCACACTTCTAAAAATAAAACACTAGTATCTCTCAGTCAAACTATAACAATGCTTAAAATATATAACAAATACGTAAAAATCGTTAGCGAAGAACTTTCAGGAACTGGTTTTATTTTTTTTAAAATTTATCCCACTATAATCTTCTTAAATTCAGTAAACTGCACGATTCTTTGTAAGTTCAAATAATGACTGATAATTATGAATGTTGTTGTGGCATTTGCACAAAAATGATAAGGAACATACAGTCAAAGAAACACTTTTAGGTGCTAGTTTTGTATTTTTCGTCAGAACGACGGTATAGAATAACATGAATTTGAAGTTAAAGTGATGTGAAGTTTAAAACTATTGCGTTTTTTTTGACTTCAATTCTTCAAATATCTTTTGCCTCAAATTTTCTTAATGGAAAAAAACAAGTGAAATTTTAGAAAATCTTTAATTCTATGATAACAAAAAGCCTAAATTTCACCGCCAAATTTAGTGCAACTCAAAATATTGAGTTAAGAGTATTATTAGGAAGTACGAAGTAAATGCAGAATACAAATTCTCAAGATTATAAAGTCAGGATAAGCAACTCTGAGAAATATTTCAGCACTAAACAACTAAAAAGTAATTCAAAGGAAGTTTCAGATTGGCAGATTATTGAAAGACATTGCAAAAACTTTTGGAATTTTGGAGATTTACGCATTATAAAATGAAGTTCCAAAATGTGTCATATCTTATATTAGATTAGGTAAGTGGGATTTCGGTAAATACTACACGTTAAATTCATTATAAATATTTGCAAAGTTTATATCTGAATTGACTTGCAATTTTCAATGCTTAACAAGTGATTTCGAGAAGGAATTAATAAAAAACTGAAGAAAAATAATGTCTGTCGAATCTGATAAAATCTCAAATATTGCTG